GTCCGAGGTGCGGGTATAAGCCTGCGCCCCGGCTTAACGCGCCAAGTTCTTGGCTTGACTTAAGCAAGCCAAGAACGCCAAAAAGTAGACCAAGATGGATTCCAAGTTCACACCCCAGAAATTCCTTATTTGATATAAACATATAAAAAACTAGGGTTGTTAAAGATTTACTTTATCAGTCCTCCTCCCGCCTCTTGGAAATATTCTTAGCTCCCCTTGTCACATTGTAGCAAATATTTCAATTAGCCGATTTTTACGTGGCGGCTAAAAATGTTCTGATTCAGTAATTTCTTTAGGGGCTCAATTTCAGACGACGTTAATTCAAGCCCCCTTCTCTGACTCTTTATTGACAAGCCTTTTCTCTCCACTTCGACAAGCATTTGTTGGAAAGGAGGGAAAATAATTTGCAAATGCAAGAAACATTTCTTCCTTGGGAGAAGAAAGAAGAAAAAAATATCCCAAGCCCACAGCGAGGTTTGCAAAGGAAAATCAGATTTTCTGTAGAAGAGGTACATCCAGAACTCACATTTTCCTGCCCAAAATCCCCAAATGAACTCAACTCTGCTAAGTTTATAGAAAAAACCCACCTTCCGTTAAAGGAAACGGGCAGCTTTATTTCCTGAAGTTTAAGTTACATAATGGTAAGTTAAATCGTTGCCGCTTGGCTGGCCCTTGGGTGCTGCAACACCTTTGAAAGATTTGCATTTCTGTCCATTCACTTTCACCTCGGCCGTCACACACTCGGTTGTGGTTTATCTGCATATACGTCGAACAAGGCAGAGCTGGACTACAGCTTCATGCCGCGGCTTTCTTTTTTCCTTTGCCAACCACAAGTTAGTTGGCAACTAGTGTTTATGTCTTTACGCTCTCCTCGGACACGTGCAAGCTTTCCAGCCGCGTTGCTGCCGTTTGGGTGCTGGTGGAGCAGCATTGACACATACCAAATGACCATTTGGTCATATTGCCTTGACCAAAGGCAAGAGGACTCGGCGCCGAGGTGCTATTTTGGGTGCGTGGGCACGCGGCTCGAGCGCCGCTCCGTTTAGCCCTTCAGCTCGCTGGTGCTCTGCACACCTCCGATGCCAACCTGCTTCGCCGAAACAACTTCACGCTAAGGACAGCTGTCCTCGGGACCGAGCCCGGGGGGACTAGGCAGCATTTCTCAAACATTTCAAAAGCGCGACCTCCTTTCGACCCCTGCGCCCTCCTGCAGCCCTGGGATGCGGCACCAGCCCAGCTTCCCTGGGGCGGGCAGG